GGCGCCCCTGCCCGCCGCCCGCGCTCCTCGCCGGCCCGGCCCAGCAGCCGCCACTCGAGCCGCCGCCGCCGCCAGCAGCAGGAGCAGCAGCGGCCGGCGCGGCGCTCCTCGGACCTGCTCATTCCTCTCCTTCCCGCGCGCGCGCTCCCTCCTCCCGCCGCCTCTCCTCCACCAGCTGACTCCGAGGGAGAGGATGACCTCATCCCTTCCCCTCCAGCTGCCGCCGCTCCCGCCCCGGCCGGCTCGGGAGGGGCGAGGGAGGAGGAGCGGGCCCCGGAGGAGGGGCCGGGACGGAGCGGAGCGGGGCGGCGGGGGAGGACTGGGCTGGCGGGCCGCGGGGTCGGAGACGGAGCGAGCAGGCGAAGGCGGGGCGGAGGGAAGTGCGCAGGGGGAGGGGCAGGAGGCGCCGAGCGGAGGGGTCCGGGCCTCGGGGCAGCGCGTGCACCGGGGGGCGGGCGGCCGGGGGCCCGGGCCGCGCAGGCCTTTCTGTGTTGGGTTCGGGCGCGGGCACCCGGAAAACTGCTAGGCGCGGCTGGTGCCTGCGAGAATTGGGAAAACGGGTTGAACTCGGACGCTGGGGCTCCGAGAGTTGACGGAGGCAGTGGGCGTGCCCGGCTCCGGAGCCCGAGGGAGGCAAAGGCGTGCAGCGTCGGAGCGCGGAGCCCCGGTTGCGCGCCCACCGAGGGCCAGCGGGCCCCCCGGGAACCCTGAGCTCGCGTCCTCAGGAAAAGGAGCCGCCGCCCACCGGCTCTCGCGGGCCGGGGCGCCCTGTTTGGGGAAGATGAGAAGCCGTTCGCGTCCTCTGCGGCCCAGGCCCGAGCGCCTGGCGCGCTCTCGGCCCAGGAAAGGCCGGGCGGCGGCTCCCAGCCGCTCCCTCCCGCAGGTGTGAAGCGCAGCACCCCTGGTGGCCGCTCACTGCGCCGCGGGGCTGAGGGGTGCGGCTGCTGCGCGGGGAAACCCTGTATCTATCTGTCCATTACCTGGCTGGTGGGCCAGGAGTAGAGCGGGGACCTGCCGGCACCTCCCCTGTTTCAAAACTAGAATTAGCGTCTCTTCAAGATGTAGGAGTACAGAGTGGCTGTATGACCTCAGAACTCCAGAAATGACTGGAGTAAATTTAATGTGATCAGAGAGGGTCACCACATTAGATATAAGGATGTATATTATGGTTTCAAAAGATCCTTAAAACCTCAATAAAATATAGTATCTTCGCCTTTTTTTAAATAAGAAAACTTGGACATTGAATTATCTCACTTAACTTTTACACATGTAGGGGCGGAAGAATATAATCCTTAAATTATACTGTGACTCACATACTTATATGGAAGGAGGGGAAGGGAACTCAAAAAGAAAACGTACTAACTCCCCACAATGAATGTAATCATTATGTACTACAAACATTTACTAATAAAAATAAATTTTACAAAAACAGACCAGAGGGAAGTGGCAACCAAGAACACGAGTTGAAGTCTTTTTAGATCTGAAGGCAATGGTAGCATCCTTCAGCTCAGCCCTGCTCCTTCTCTGTGGTAGGCTCCAGGTGAGTTGGAGGTCAGGTGCAGTGACATTCTTAATTACTGGTGTTTTAAAATGGGCACGAATTTCTGTGCATTCAGAATTGGCCAATGCACACATCTTGTGCTAGAGCTCATCAGCTGTTTTTCATCAATCTAGACAAAACGGAATTTACTGCACCCTCTGGATACTTTGTCCTTTATCCTCCTAGAATGGTGCCTAGGGTTCTGCTCTCCTTCGCTTTTGCCTGACATGCTGGTAGAAGGGTGTTGGGCCACAGAGCCCATAAACAATTGTATGGCATGTTCAGATCTAATATTTCTTGTAAAAGTCAAGACCAAGTGGTGGCTGAGGGGCAACAATATACCACTGAGGCATTCAGAATGCCAGGCAAAAGGGTGTGTTTCAAAATCTTGTTTTAAAATTGGGCCCTCTTGGAGCAGGAAAATCCTTTTTTGGAAAACACGCTGTTCTATTTCCCCAGAGTCCAAATATAAAATTCCATCTCCAGGGTGTTACCACTCATGGTGCTTCATGCAAAACCATCAGGGGAAGGAAGGATCTCTTAGGCAACAGGGTCCTGAGAGATA